AAGTTGTTATTTTGTTGAAGCATTTGATACCCAAATATTTTGGTACAACCTTAGCTCCTAGGAACTAAAAAGGATGTACTAGATGTCATCAAGAATAAATAACAGTGTTACGGATGGTTATTTGGGTTAGGACGCATATCTGATTTGTTTCCGATTTCGGCAGAGGAGATATAAATACACCTTATTATAGTTAAGTACAGGAATTATAAACATCTCAGCTGAGTGCTGAGTATTTTTGTTTTGATCAGGGAAGCCTTCAAGATTCACATACTTGCTTGATCTGTATTTCATTCGTTATTCTCGGGATGGACAACTTGTTTTTAAATAATCACGGCAAGCAATAGTTTTGATCTCAAACAACGATATTGTTTACCTCTATTTGATTATCATGTCAAACACAGTGTGGTATGGAGAGGGATAAATAATCGCTATTTTTATTGTTGATATGCTCAATAACCTAACATTTTCCAAGTCTTGTTCCTATACCTGGCACTAGCGCGGTATTTGCCATTAGAGCACCTGGTCCATACACAAATATGTCAGTCTATGGTTATATTTATATTGGAACTACAATTCGAACATCCTTCACTCAAAGGAATAGTATGGGTTGAATTGACAAAAAAATGTGTTTAATCAACAACATCATTATAATTGTTGAATGAAACTACAATGATGGTATTATATTCAATGATTAGGTGATCGTGAAAACAGTTCAGGAAAAATTGTACATGAACAAATTCAACGTTAACCAAAAATATTAGTTGGTGTTGACATTATTTTTGTGGTACAACCAATAATTTGTGAAAATTAGTCCAATCGAACTAGGAATAAATAGTATTTCAACAACATTATAACTGTAACTGAAATATCATAATAGCTCGCTCACTATTATATTCGGTAGACAAACGGAAAGGAAGTTTTAATCAACATATAAGTATTTCAAATCAAACTTAAGATAGTACTACAACTATATTATATTGTAACTAAAATATCATTACAGCTTGCTCACTGTTAAAGTTGGTAATCAAACGAAAAGGAAGATAAAATCAACCTGCAACTATTTCAAATCACTCTAAAGAGAGTATTCACTGTCATAGATGGTAGACAAACGAACAGTAGGTTAAAATCAACCAACCTTCTTTGAAGGGTTGACAATGAGCTTGTGATCGTATTCCCATGTTGTGGCTTTATATTATTTTGAACATATCGTTTCACGTTATACCTATTCTGCAATGAAGTGATTTTGGTAAGTTGATTATGTAATCACTTTATTCAATATCGAGTAGTAATTTAGTACTAAATTAATACAACACACTGTATAAAATTATTGTTTAAGTTCGTCTCTTTTTCTCAGGACAATCTTCAATTTTTGGATCATTTAGTACAGAAGAAGTGGATACATCCCCAGGGAGGTTGTATATGACAAGTACCAGAACCATACAAGAAGATTAAGAAAGTTTTGAAATCTCTCGTCAAGGAGTACCACTGATGTAGTCTTTCCAATTAATAATCATGATGAGGAAAATTCATCAGATGATCGTGATTATGTGATGGTGAGTATTATTCATGAATTCAATCAATTCAATATTATAGTCATATTTCGATTCAATACATTTCTTGCAGGAAGAAGATGATAAACTGTGGTAGCCATTGAATAACGTCCATTGAGTGTCAAGTGTCATAAAGGATAAATGGAAGAGAACATTCAAATAACGGAGACGAGAACAAATGAAGAGAATTATACTGTAGATATTTTGTAAAGTTGACCACCATGTAATGAATAAACTTGATGTTGATCGAAATCTGTATTAATCCAGTGGTACAAGAACCTGAAAATTATTCAATATAGCTTTATCTACTATGTACTTTGTTGGTGAACCAAATATTATGGCTATCTATACGAAATATAAGTGATTTGACAAAAATTATGGTTAACATATCACTCATTTTGTTGTGAGATTGAAATCTGGTTGATAACCAATTTTCTTGATCAAAACAACAATTACACTCGTATGGTGACCAAACATATTCAACTATTGTTTGCTGGTTGATTTAATTATTAAACCAGATAGGCTCATTTTCATATGCTCTTTTTGGTTGATTTAACCCATCAATTTTTTTGAGTGTTGAAAATTGAATAAACCTGCTGTTCATCACCAACTTTTCTTCGGTGTTCCAGAGAAGTGAGTGAGTTTGTGAGCGAGGCATCACCCACGAGACGCAATTCCCTTTTGTAGACAGAATCCAACAGTTTCAGGAATAGAATATTCTCATCACACGGATTTTGCATTGATTTCGATTTGTTGCATTGCATACATATGGCACGGCATTGGTGGTTACTTCAAATATTTATTTGGGTTAATTGTTTCGGTTTCAGAAAAAATAGCATGTTTCATTCGGATCAAAAGTGACTTTGTTTGAATCGCATATTTTGCTTTCGCTCGGCTTTGTTAATCGCTCCGCCTCGGGAACATATACGTATTAATAAACAATACAGATCAAAACGGGTGCCAGGATGAAGCCAAAAATATGAAACAAATGAATGTCCATAAGGATTTGGTGGCATGATACGCATGCGCCATGCGCTATTATAGTAGTCATCAAAGACATGCGTTTCGGTGGACAATGACGTTTACTAGCCTTTCAATCAAAGCAGTATGTGTCTGATCGTTTCAAAACTTTTCCTTATGGATAGTCATTTGTCTTCAAAAATCGGCTTCATGTTTCGCTATGGAAACAGATAGAGATTATCCGTATTGATTATTGATACGTATATGCTCGGGAATGCAAATTTCGCTTGTCAAACAAAGTGTCACTTTTGATCCTAATGAAACAATCTACTGTTATATTTTCATTTCCTAGAGAAGAGGAGAGAAAATCAAAAAAATCTGTACCACCTCCTCGATTAACCTACAGACAGTATACCCTGTATATTCACACTGTTTTGACATTAGGCTCCGAAGTTGTGAACACTAACCTATACGTCACGCGGTTATCCAAAAACACCCCAGAGCGTGTACTATGAAGTATTAGCATGTTTAGCATCAGCATCAACAAAACTACCGCAAACTCCCAAAGTTCGACAACTCCAGACGAATTCGTTCCCACTAAACCGATAATTCGTGGGGTGGTTGTTTGGGGTCATATATAGAATTTTCCGGAATTTTCGCTGCTTCAGCGGTGATGCGAGGCTAAATAGGAAAATTACTCAATTTTGCTTTGAATTATTTATGGCTCAATGCCGACAGAATGATGCAAATTGAAATTTGCATTATCGGAATTTATAGACCCACATCTGGGAATAACAGAGTTGGATATATACTCGATTGGGTGAGTCGATTCATCCCCAATCCATAACATTAGAGTTGGTCGTTCGAAGGTAATTGACGATATACAGTGTCTTTCAGAAACTTGGCATCATATGAGAGAAACGTTTACTAATATTAAAAAAAGGCAAAAAGACCCTACCTAGCAACTACAGACCGATCGCACTGCTATCTATTATTTTAAAGATCATGGAGAAAGCTAGCAACATCGAAATACCTGGAACATTCAGGTATTATCAACGATAGGCAATATGGCTTCCGTCATCAGAGATCAACTGGTGACCTGCTCGCTTACGTCTCACATATATGTCAGCCGTGGCACTTGATATCTCCAAGGCATTCGATCGAGTCTGGCACCACGGACTCCTCGCCAAGCTTCCATCTTATGGCTTGCCTCCCCAGCTATGTTCTCTGCTAGCTAGTTTTCTCTCGAACAGGTCTTTTCATGTAGTGGTCGACGGAGTTTCATTTGACTCTCTTATCATAAATGCTGGTGTTCCGCAAGGATCAATTCTAGCACCAACACTATTTCTACTCCATATCAACGATTTGTTGGAAGCAACTTCATGTTCAGTACACAGCTTCGCGGATGATAGTACCCTCCATACCGCCTTCTCTTCCAGGACTCCAATACCAGCCAGGTAAATCAGAAACGAACGAGGAAGAAATGTTGACAACATAAACATGGACTTTGCAACAATTCTCGAATGGGGATCCAATAACTTGGTAGACTTCAATGCAAACAAAACACAACCATAATCTCTGGTAGAAGTCCAACATTTCTCAAAGTTGAGTGTAGTTGTAATAACTAAATAAAACTCGAAATCATCTCTACGACAGCTTTTACTATGTGAATAAGTCACATCAGGGGGAACATGTTTTCGGACATACATATGTCCATCATCAGCCTATTAGAAATTAGTCCTACATGAGGGTGAAAAAATATCTGCACTACATTGAAATGAATAAAGTTACACATGTAGTATCAGAACATTATTAAAAAATTATTTTGTTTTTTTTTTTAATTTGAAGGGAAAAACATTTTTATAAAACCCTGCATTTTGGTTTATGGTGGGTCAAACACGAGCCGGTCCCATAGCATCAGGGCCCAAGAACGATAGATAATGGTCTATAGCAATCAGCAAGTAATGGAGGACGGAAAACCCATGACTTAACAGACACTGACAGAGATGTTGACAGATGTCAATGTAGCACAGACAACTGACAAGAGACCGACAATGACAGTCAGGGATACCAACCCACGACCACAGATACAGAATGCACAGCATGTGAGTAGAAACCATATTTTATGATGTCAAAAGGCTTGTCCTACTGTTCCACTATAGGTAGCGAAATATTTTATAATGTTAAAACCTCAATAATCTGGAGTCCTTTTTTTTTTCATGTCCTACTGTTGCTCTGGGGCGATGAAATATCACGTGACCCCGACCGAGTTGGCAATTCTTCATATTTTTCAAAGCAAAACCTTACGCCCAAGTCGAATTTCACAATCAATTGTTATTAATAGTTTTTCCCACATGACGCTAACTTCATAAAAGACACTATATAAATTTTGAGTGACAATTTCATATTCATCAAGAGTGTTTGTTATTAATAATGGGGAAGGGGAAATTGAAATATAGACAATGGAAAATTTACACTGGTTTTATTTGAATAACTTCGAGAAAAATATTTCACTAATAATTGATGCACAATTTTATTGAAAAGTCATATATTTTACTGCCTACTATACCAGGTGTCCACTAATACTGTCACTTTCTTGTTCTGTCAATGAATTTCTATTTTATTTTAATTATCGATCTATGAGTTGTCAAATTTTCAGTATTGGTGAAGTACGTATGAATGTCACATTCAATGAAAAAACAAAAAAGTGAAATTTTTTGCGTGCTCACTTCATACACCTACAGTCATGTTGACGATCAAATAACACTGAAATGTTTGCAGAAAATATTGAGTACATATGGACACTGCTTTCAGAAGTCATGCTAAATGAAATATAGCAAATATTTGAAATAAAGTCACAACGGATGGGGAATTGATGACATGCCATGTGGAATTGGAAAATTACATTGTGAATCTCGCATTTCCTAAATATGAGAACTATTCACATACATTTTATTGGTATTATTTCAATTCAGCACACTGATTATCTATTCATGGTTTAAAGGAATCTTTGAGTTCAAGCTTCATGAAAAATTTCGAACAATTTCTACTGATGTGCTTCAGATAGACAAAAAGCCTATTTTTTCTCACCAATGAAAACTCTTGTCAGATATATTGAAAATACATTTCGGATGAACAATTTCCATATTCATACAAGAACAATATACAAGTTTCGATAAAATATAATAGATAACTATACAGTGTGTATCTGAATCTTGAATTTTTTCGGTGTTATTTAGATACACCCTGTAGATTGAGGCTATGGAATGGTGCAAGCAGCATCAAAACAGTGCTCACACCATGTAGGTTAGAATCAATTTATGCATTCATATTCTTCGTTGTGTCCACAATACGAATTAACTTTATATCACAGTTGTAAACAAATTCTGTCCACCTCAGATCATTTGGAAATTGTCAGCAGCACTGACACATACTTCTAGATCTTCAGAAGAAGGGAACACAGCGTTGCCACGACCACAACGGAAACAGTAGCTGGTGTTCTAACTGCTGAACTGTTAACTGAAACAAAATATTATTGAGGGTTGAACATGAGTAAGAGGTCTGTTAACATGATGTATTTCACAAAATTTTTGACATCTACGTTTCAGTTTGTGAGAAAATAGTGTATAATATACCCCTATATAAAGTAATTTTCAACCGTTTTCAAATTGAAACGATATATACAGGGTGTTTCATAATTGAATGCTTATTCTCTAGGGCGATAATCCTTGGATGATTTCAAAGAGAAAAGTTTGTATCAACATATGTCCTAAACCTCTTAGTTATTGAGCTACAGGGTGATGAAATTTCAAGAAAAGAATTAGTTCATCATAATTTTTTATCACTCTTAGATATTGTTATGATATTTTGTATACACCTTTTCATTATAAGGGAGCATTTTTTCAACGTGAGAGATATTTAAAAATTCTCACCAGTGGCGTCCGTACGGGGTTTGAACTGACAATTTTTGAAGAAAAAAACAGTACGCCACTGATTTTTCTGAGAATTAGATTTTTTTTTCAATTCTTAATCATTTTGGAGCAAATTTGGTTTTAAGACTCAATTTCATACAACGTACCGTTTTCGCGTAAAAAAAATAAAAACCAAAGAATTTTGTTTCTTTAGTTCTTGCATATTGTTTTTGATAATTCAGTAAGTGGAAACACAGTTTGTTTTGGGACGAAAATCAAACTTTTACTTTTACCAGTGATGTCCTCGTAGACCTGATATTGAATGTTTTGTTAAAAAAAACGCTGTACGCTTCTGATTTCAACACCCTGTAGCTCAAAAACTGAGAGGTTCAGGACATATGTTGATATGAACTTCTCTCCTCAAAATCATCCAAGGATCATCGCCCTTTAGGATCAGCATTCAATTATGAAACACCCTGTATATATAGAAATATTGAGTTTGCACTAAGTATATAAGATCATCATCAAGTTTCATATTATAATAAGATGAATTTTTTGAAAAAGAAAACAAATTCAACATACGCCAACCATATATTAGAAGAAAACCATAGTTTTGATGATAATTTCGAAATGCTACATGTAGAAAATAAAGGAATGAAAATCAATCATTTTGAATCATTAGAAATCAACAAACTCAAAAATTTTGACATTTTACTCAACGATCAATTAGACCTCAATAGTTCCCCACTGTTGAATTTGTTTTCTTAGTAGGTAATAATATTTATTTGCTATCAACTCTTTCAAGTTAATCCGGTATACCGTAATTTAATGTAGATATATTGTGCCTAATTTCCGAAAATGGAGGTTTATCGATCCTGTCCACAGGTAACTAATCCTTCAAGTTGGGAAAGTAGGATATATAAAAGTTAAGCAAGCCAACGTTGGTTTAGTTCATTGTACCAGACCTGACGAAGCTACTGTGTTAGCGATTATCCGATGAATCTAGGTAGAATACTTTTCGCTAGGAATCTGCTAGGTAGATTGTTGGCAATATAATAGTTATTTATGTATTAAGGGAATTATGAGGGCCTTAATCACCGATGGCAAAGTTTGCGTCCCGAGGGCCTCTGGCCCGAGGGACAGCAATTGCCAGAGGTTATTAAGGCTCTATAATTCCCGTGATACATAGATAATTTTATTTCTGACTGATTTCATTCATTAGATACCTTCCCGATTGGAAGTTAGACATGTTTTATAGTTTCAATGTCATCAGAACGTCAGATGATGATCTTGACTACCGCGAATAGGAGATTGCTTATTGCTACGTTATTGCGTGGTTGTTGCTATGCATTTCTTATTTAATTTTAGCTAGAGGGAATTATAGCATCTATAACATCCCAAGGGAGTTATGACCGTCATTATAGATATCGTAACTATGACGATATAAGCTTATGTCACTGTCAGAAATAAATAAATATTCGGCCGCGGTAATCACCCTGACTAATTGGCGAACCGGGTGAGTTGTCCTTTTCTAAAAAGGATGCTTGTTGATTTATGAATATTTTAACCCCCCGGACCTCAGGTATAGGCGAGTTTTGTCGCGTTTCTCAGCCTTAAGAATTTCGTGGAAATCTTATCGTTTGTGAAGTTTTTACATTTGCCAAGGATTTCCATCAAGCAACCCTAGCATTTTTATACTCACCGAGCAGAAGGGCCTCCCTGATGGGCGCATTCTCGCTGCGCACAATGCTCTCCCTGTCGCCCCTGTACAGGGTGGGCGCTATCGAGGCGACGCACTTGACGCGCATCGAGCCACCCCTGAAATGATTGTGGGCGAGTCTGAAGGTGAGACCGAGAGTGGACGAAACGAGGCCTGTGGGGTGCCTTGCGGTAGGGTAGTTGACCAGCGCGTCCTGGCTGGTTATCTGCGGAAATTAACAAACAAATAAGGATGCCTTTGTCTATTTTTTTTTTCTAGGGTAAACCGGTGAAGTACTATCCGGCAGCCGGTACAGTAGCCACCAAGTTACTTCTGTTGTTTACTTTTTTTATCGTGGTACGGCAGGAGTTTCGGCCATTCCGACACTTTTTCACTCGAAAATATTCACATTTCTGTCGATCAAGGTTCCAGTCCAGCTCATAAAATTATACGGTGAGTAATTATTTTTCAAATTACAATTTGTTTCTCAATTTTTTTGTAATTTTGTTGAAGCCATGAGTCCCGAATGAAGAAAAAACATATCATTGAAAGTCTAGTTCAACGTCATAATAAGATTCTTGATTCGAAACGCCTTTTGAAATTTTTCAAGAAGCTGTCTATCGTTCACGTCATCTATCAACGAATATAAGAACCCCACGTTCCGAACTCGCATTCAATTGTTCATATCGAGAGCTCGTCTGACAAAACAATTGAAGAGTGGGCACACCAAAGCAATTATAAACATATCATACAGAAAAACATTTCTAACTCCTAGCAGTCCTAGCTTAGAATGAAAGTTAGACATGTTTTCCCGTAGTTTTCATGTCATCGCAGCGTCAGGTGATGACCTTGGCAGAGATGTGTAGAAATTTAACTGTTGCGCTTGCTCCCTATTGAAGGTCGTTTGCAAGTTTCTCGATGGCGCCTACTCTGATAAACCTTTGATAAACATACTTGACGTGGGTAAATCTCGCTAAGCTCATCCTGGTTACAATCCATATTTACAGGAAACATATTACCGACCGATAAATATTTGGATACGTATATGATTTGGATCAGAGCAGTGAACTGATTCCTGATCAAAGGATCGAAACGTCAATATGTCAAAAATATTCTTGAGCTGAAAAAATGGTTATTTCTGAGATTGGGGTCAAGTGTTCGTTAGGGACGTGTTCCGTAGTTTTCTAAATTTTGTGTATAATACCTAATCTACCATATAGAAAAAAGAAAATCTCTGTTCTACAACAGTATTATTTCAGTGATTTGAAATATTAGCGTGAACTGGTGTGAATAAATTCTAAGGTGAGTACCAGTTACCATATCTTCCTATTATGATTCATTCTCTGTTCTGGTTCTTCAGAGAGGAAATTCATCAGATTTCATGCTTTAAATAGGTTCATGTCATGAAAGAAGTGAAGCTTATTAAAATCGGCTACAAAAAAGATTTCTTGCTTCTATTTCAAATTGAAATTTGAATGAAAATGTTGAGCACAGTATTTATTCGACCACAGAACAATGATGGAAATAATAGATTCATCCCTCACAAAACCAAGGTTTTGAACGATTTTCCGATTATGGCGCCTCTATCGCAAATACCTGAACCCCACGTCCAAAACTCGCTTGCAATTGTTCCATATCGAGAGTTAGTCTGACGAAACAATTGAAGAGTGAGCCCACCAGTTAAGTTTCTATACATCTCTACCTTGGCTACCGCGAATTGCTTATTGCTGGATACTCACTTGTTCTTCATTGATATACCAATGAAGTATTGATGCTGGATGACTTTTTGCTGAAGTACAGTTCAGATTAATATCGTCACCAATTTGGTACTGCATCTCATCTCCTGTTATGACAGGGTCCTCTTCAGGTAGTACTGAAAAATTAAATATGATTACAGAATGGAATCTAGAAAATATAGCGAAGAAATTGCAATTTTCCGTATAAGTAGATGACTATTATAGTCGTACCAGTATTTTCGATTTTTTTTCAGCGGTTGCCTAGCCATGTATTGAGCAAAACTTAATATTTTTGACTTCGAAAACCTCAATCTTGAAACCGAATATTTGTTCTGGTACATACGTATTTTTGTATGAAAAACACGAATTTGAAGATGAAAATATGAACAAACCATTATTTATTAGGATATTTCACTATAAAGTTACAAATTCCACCTTCTTTTCCGCCTGTCTTTTGGATGGCATTTAGAAAAATTTTGCCCTTTTTTTTCATTGGGCAATGGGCTTATGTCACAAAAAAATTTCATAATTCGATAGAACTCACCCAAACTAGCTCACCACCGCAAACCGTTTCTTGCTGTGAGCTCCCTACGTTTTATGAAAAATTATTGCAATCCCCGATTTTTCGGACCTCTGAAAACGAGGCGATGATGTGACGTCAAAACCCTAATACTGAAACAAGACTATTCCAGACAGAGATGAATGATACATGATTTCTGACAGAGTGAATTAGCGCGAGATCACAGTTGAAAAAATTAATTTATCAGTTGCCTCAGTCTCCGTCGGGCGTTTGGTATTTTCTTTTAACTATGGCGAGATGAGGTTTCTACGTCATGAGAGGGTCCGTTTTCAGAAGGTACTATTATTTATGTCCAAAAATAAAACATTCCAGTTAATTTTTCGATCGAATTATGTCGTCAATCATTATTTATGTATAAAAGGATCATTATAAACATGGTTTGAGTTAAAAGTTCTACTAAGGTGTACACGCCCATTTATATATCACAGTGTACTTCAATGACACATTTTTTTCTATTATATGAGTCAACTAGAAATATGATTTCCTTGCGATTTATCCATATTTACTGAAAAGAGGGAAGAATATCATTCAAAATAATGGCATGTGTATTTGTGTAATGTCATTCAAGAACAATCTGTTGACATTTAACATCTCGTATTTGGATTGACTATTGATTAAATGGCCGTCATCTGGTATGATTGTTCACTAAATATGAAAAACTCGCCATAAAAATCATATTTCGTGTTGAATTTTCTATATAAAAATGGGTCATTGAAGTACATCATGAGTATATGAAGTGTCCAATGACAAAATAAGAAGAGTAAGTAGCTGTAAATGCTTTTTCATGAAATATCTCGAAAAATAGTGGTTTGTTCACATTTTCATTATCAAATTCGTGTTTTTCACACAAAAATACGTATATAAGTACAAAAAAAAATTCGAAAAAAAAAACATCGCATGATAAGTGCAGTTTTACCACTTTCAGTTCTAAAATGAGCCAACGAGTTACCTCCATAAATATGTACATGACAATCAGGAACATCCTGTATGCTATATGTAGGTGGTAATATATTTCAATATATGAATATATCAGGTAGATAAACAGTTTGTATGCTTGTATCCTATTTCGAAACCTACACTAATCCTCCTCGGAAGTGCTGGAACACAAATAAATGAGCAGAACCAGTATATTTACACAAGTAAGCTACGCTGGAGTTTGCCTTTGTGAAAAATTAATATCACTTCAAAACAGTCTCAATTTCTCTTCCCTCCATCTCCACAGTTTGTTTTAGGAATATTATTGGTTACGTGATCAGAATTCAAAACTCGTCGGCAATATTGGATCATACCATCTTGGATTCCCTAATTTTGACGAAGGAATCATAATTTTTGATCCCCAAAACGCCCACTCACAAATTTTGAATAGAATCGGTTTATTATTACAAAACTCGTCCCGTATATTGGTTCCACCGTATTGAATTTCCAAATCTCGCCCTTTTCAAATTTTGACAAAAGAATCATAATCTCCGACCCCGAAAATACCCACATAACAATTTTTGAAGAGACAATACACGTCCGCCATCTTGAATTTCCTAATTCTAATTGAAGAATCATAATCTCTGACCCCCGAGAACCACCAGATACCAAATTTAATAAAATAGTTTGTCAGCTGTCCTAGTGCAACTGATGAGGCTTGCAAAGCCGAAACAGCTGACAATCCATTCACGAATTTCCTCATTCAAATGAGTTTCAAGTTAATTTCAAAGATTTACGGTCAACTTTATTGTTATAGGTACATACAATAATTAAATATCACGTTTAGGATTAAAGCGCATGGCATTTTAAACAAATGAAACGCGGTCGCGTGGTCGCGTGTCCCACGATATAAGACACAGAATAAAATGATCGGTCATTCTTAAGATTAATTAATGTCGTTCTGGCACTCAAAACACAACACGAACAACGTGTGCTATTTGTTTTCCATGGCGCACCCTCTTTTACGCTAAATAGGTAGGTAGATAATACTTTTTGTACAATTTTTATGAGGCAATTCATTTCGGCTGTGTAGCTATGCCCCTAAATGTCACTGCGTTCAAAATTCCACCATTCGTGAGATAAATATTAAAAACAATGCGGAAAATATTAAATTTGTCTCGACTGGATATTTGAAGAACAAATCTGCTCCAGCTTTCAACATGAAAATGAAAAATAATTGAACTTACGGAAAAATTCCATGCACAAAGTGGAGTAGAGCTTCATTAAAATTTGTGGAGATGACTAAGAGTTATTTTTTCTGATCATAAATAATCATTTTCTGGTTGTTTCTTTTTCTTCCTTTGATTTTACATCATCGAATTCTGTCATAATTTTCAGTCAGGATATGTTCAGCTAATTTTGATTTGTCGGTATGTATTTTCTTTTATGCACTTCAGGGATTTGAAGGGTACCTTCATTCCCTATTTTCGGGGAAAAAGTGATACTTCAAATCCCTAGGGATTTGAAGTATATTTTTTTGCAATAGAAGCTAAATTTATAAATGTATTTTCAAAAAGTCTGTTGCAATTGTGGCATCGAATATACGCTCCATATTGACGATGCTTTAAGCTTTTTTGACTTCTGCAAGAAATATGTTCAGTTTTTCTTCTTTGCATTTTTCTACGTTCCGTTCTTTGCACCATTTGATAAACTCAAATAACTATTTTTTTGAATTGTTCTCCAGATTTTCTTGGTAATAATTGGCCTTCAGCTTCTTGAGCTGCATTTTCGATTTGTTCCATCGCGTTCAACGTCTTTCAACCGGTGTGGCGTGTTTGACTTATACTTATAGCTCCTGGCTCGAAACAGGAAACCAAGTTTTTGGGATGCACTTTCAGCAATTGATCTCACGTGATTTTTCCAAGAAAGGTTATTGCTGATAGTATGTAATACCAAGCATCGAAATGGATGTGTTCAAAGATATGGTTACTGCTGACAAGATTATGTTGGGCACAGTGAGATCGGCTTTTCTAGAGAAAAGGCATGCTTGTGTTTTGTTTGCAATGAAAACTACCAAGTGATTGGATCCCCATTCGATAATTGTTGCCAAGTCCATATTTATGTTGTCAACATTTCTCCCTCGTTCGTTTCTGGTTTTGGTTGGCTGGTATTGGAGCCCTGGAAGAGAAGGCGGTATGGAGGGTACTATTATTCGCGAAGCTGTTTACTGGACATGAAGTTGCTTCCAACAAATCGTTGATATGGAGTAGAAATAGTGTTGGTGCTAGAGGCAAGAATATCCTTTGTTTTTTCAGTCTCAACACAGTTTCTTCTTGAAACTTATCAACACCATGATTTAATTTTTCAGGAAAGACGGGAATGTGGTGGTGTACTTTTTTTTCGATACAATCTTGTCCTCTCTCTTTAGGATTATGTTTTGAGCAGTTGGGATTCCGAATTTTGTGTTTGTGAGCGATTAACGCGGCTACTGGACACGATAGAGGACCAGAGGGACAGCTAACAGAGAAGGAGAAAGAGATAGAGCGATAAAGGCGTTCTAAATTGTCGCGTGATTGTCATAGTAGCTATCGCTTTTATAAAATGACCACAATAAAGCGGAATATTTTATTGCATTTTCCGAAATGGGACGAGACAAGATTAGCTGGATTTATTTGTCGCAGTTTTCGTTTCTTCTATGCCGACAGGCAATTCGGGATGATTCATGGTGTTAGCTGTCACTAATGCGATTCCTCTATTTCCATCTCACTTGCGAATAAGCATATTATGAAAACGATATAAAGTATAAAGGTTATGATGACGTATCACCACTAGATCTACTGACAATGAAAAACCACATTATGAAAAAATTTTTGAGCAATTTAATAGATCTTCAAAGGATTTATGATATTATTTTTTTTACTCTCTAATGCCACCAAATGGCACACAGACGTCTCTAGGGAGGCTTTGGGCCTAAAACCAAATACTCAGAGAGCTTGTGCAAATCCCGGAATTATAAGCCATTAGGAAATGTTTCGAGCTCAACATTGAGAAGAACTACCGAAGACAAGAGATCATCATCATGTCTGATTGCCAAGCAGCTATCAAAGCTCTGATCTCACATGTAATCAGCTGTAAGATAGTCTGGGACTGCATAGGAAAACTGAACGATCTAGGTAAAGCAAATAGGGTCACCCTTCTTTGGGTTCCAGGCACGTTCCGGGGCACACCGGACTGGAGGGGAATGAAGTGGTAGAAGACTCGTGAAGGAATAAGGGGCTGAAACACCATGCATTCATGGGACCCGAAACCTTCTGTGGGATCAGTAAAACAACAATAGTTGGGTAATTTAATGAAGACATGTATCTTAAGACAGCCAGATACTGGTAGGATATACAAGGTATGAGACCAACAAAGGGCCGGTATGGGACCCACAAGCAGAAGAGACCTAGCAAATCCATCAACCTAAGTAAAAATAAGATACTAACTGGCGTCCTATCAGGACACTGTCGATTGAGAGGACATCTGAAAAAATTCCTGGTAGTAGTGGAAGCAGATTCTATTCAAGATCGCTATCTCTTATTGAAGTTCATGAATTTCATTAATCTATGCAATAGATTCTTTCTCTCGGGACAGATGATCCAT